ACACAAAACCCCACAACAGCAAACTCCAGAAGGAAGAACTAAAAAAATTCATAGGGAAATAGCGAGAATTCCGGCACAATAGCTTTAAGGGTTAAACAGAACCCTTCTGCTGGTGCAAGGAATGTCTACATGTAGGGGGACAGCATTTTCAATAACTTCTGTGACCTGTGACTTGTATACTTCATTCCAAAGTAACTGGCCACAGGCATACTGATTCATTGGCAAAATTTGTATGCACCTTGCAGCCAATAATGCATCAGTTGTTGTAAACCGGCCGAGAAAAGTAAGAACCTCCATCCATATGTAGATGTAGAAATTTTCTTTGATGTTCATTAATAGCCTTATTTATGTGTTTAATTACATGCATTGAACATTCCACTTCACCACAATTGTGTCTATATACTTGTATTAGGATGTGTTGCCAATGCCAGTTCTTCACTACTAAATTCTACACCTCTTACACATTCTCTGTAACTAATGTTTAGTCATCTTTCTGTCTAACCAAAAACAACAAAAAAATTGTTATGCAAACCAATCACCTGACAGCTGGTACAGAGGCAACTTCAAACGTGTCAGGTATATCCAATTTACTTCAAAGAAAGGGCAAGAGGCAACAAGTGTCTATAATATGTCACACATTGTCACAAATCATTAGTTATCCTAAATTCCTGGTACTCATTTCTGATAGACGCTGAGTAAACCCCAGGGCCTAGTGCGGCTGGAAGGATAAGTGTGGCCGGTGCGTAAGGTTGACAACATTACCGCCATCTTTGAGCCGATTGTCTAGATAGTGTGGGACCTTCAACATCTCACAATCCTATGGCCCTTCACGGCCTGGTACCTGGATAGCTTTACTTTTACTTTTTTACTTCTAGTTATCCTAAAGCAAATCCTCAACACAATGACACCTCTATGTTATTACACGGATACAGACTGCAAGTGTGACAGAAAATAAATGATAAACTTCAGCATTTATAGATCCTGGGAACGCTATGATGTAGTACGAAAGCACTGCTTAGTACAGTGGTTCTCAAACTGTGGGGCGCTAAGCCAGGGGGGCGTAGGGCTTGAAAAGGGGCGCAGCATACTTTCATACACATAAAAATTAAAACTGCCCAAAATCAATTAGAAAAGTAACAAAAAATAAAAATACATATAGAAAAACTTTTGATGAGTACAGGCTTTAATTGTCATGAATTTCAAAATAACTAATAATTAGTCTCTTTACCGGCAATTATAAAACTCGTATGCCAGAGACAGCGTTGATAGTTCGGCAGCAGCCGCATCCTCTGAAATCCTCTGAAGTCAAGACTTTTTAAAATGCTGTGTGAGGAAATGGGTGCCAAACACACTGCTCTGTTGTTCCTTAGTGATGCTCAATGGCTTTCAAGAGACAAGGTATCAAAGAGAGTGTTTAAGCTGAGACATGAGGTGTTCTTTTAATGGGGAAAATCACTCACTGGCAGACAGTCTCAGCGACCTCACAGATATATTTGAGAAACTAAATATCCTCAGCACTTCACTTCAAGGTGACTGAGGCAACTGTACTTTCTTGGAATGACAAAGTGAAGGCATTCGTGAGAAAATTATAGCTCTGGAGAAACAGTATGGAAAGTGACACGCTAGACACGTTCCCTACTCTACTGTCAATGGTACAAGACACTGATAATCCAGTGCTTCCAATGGACATAAAAAGCTGCCTACTTCATCATCTCATAATGTTGAAAGTTCATTTCGAAAAATACTTTTGCAATGATTTTGATAAATTTAATTGGATTAAAAATCCATTCGAAAATTCTCCTGGGCCATCATCTCTGAAGGTAAATGAACAAAAACAACTCATCGATCTCACTAGTGATACTACATTAAAAAGTAAATTTAAGAAATTGTCTCTGTTGGAGTTCTGGATACATATTGGCAAGGAATTCCCAACTTTGAGCCAAAAGGCAATGAAGATACTGATTCCTTTCGCAACAACTTACTTATGCGAGACAGGCTTTTCTGCTTTGGCAACTATAAAGTCAAGGTATCGTTCAAGGCTAAATGTTGCTAAAGAATTTAGAGTGGCCATTTCTGATATTACACCACGTTTTGATACACTTTGTTCTCAAAAGCAGGTTCATCTATCACATTGAAATTTGACATTTAAATGTTTGATTTTCTTTGCAGAAAAAATTAAATACTTGTTAGTTAAATATAGTTTCATTTCATTAATTGCAAGTTAATTGCAAGTGTTAAAACTAATTTCTATTGTAGGCCTAATATTGTGATACTGTAATTTTGAGTAAAAGTACTGCTAAATAGTATGTAGAAAAACACAAAATAAACTGAATAAAACGTCAAACATACCATGACTTCTATTTTGATAAAGAAAAACAGGCTGGGGGCCTGAAAGTATTTTCTCTTGTCAAGCGAGGCTCAGAAGTAAAAAGTTTGAGAACCCCTGGCTTAGTGGATTGAACAGACAACGAAATTGTGAAAGATTGTTCCTGCTATGGAATTTACCGAAAACCTTCAGTTTACACAAGATCTGTTTTCATCTATATTAGATCTGTTTTACGAAAATGGGAGTGGTACATCACACGCAACATTCAAGGTACTACAGCCAGCGGAAGAAAAAAAACATTCAAAATCTAAGTAAACAGCGCAGTGGAGTTGTTTCATGTACACGGACAAGACAAGCGGCATTTCTGCACATTTGTGTTATCTGCCTAACGGCGCACATACAGCTCACCTCAGGTTCAGCCTTTAATTCTGGAAATGTTATTAGGACAGGATCCTCTTCCTCTTCTGCATCTGAGACTACCTCAGCTTTTACATTCAGGGCCTGATCTGCATCATGAGCTGTTGGGTATGTCTCACCATATGGACCCACTAAAGCGTTCTCCAAATTTGTACAGTTCTGAAAGAACCATCACATCCTTCTCAGAATTGGATGCACAATACCACACATTAAACAGCATTTGCTCTCCTTGTTATATCTGTTTCTCATAACATCTAACCCATAAGATCTGTTTTGTACGGATTTTCTTCTCTACAGCTATCATGATCACTAGAATGTACTTGGTTCATAGCTCAGTGACCTTCCTGAGGAACCATTGGTCACTGTGGCAGTAGAGAAAATATCTGCTTTCTTTGGTACCTAAAACCATCATAATGAAGATCTCCACAACTTGTAACCTTTGTTCACCAAGCATAATTAAAATATCAAGTCAAGGAGGATGAGATGGGAAGCTTATATAGCAGGCATGGGGAGAAGAGGAATGCATATAGGATTTGCCGAGAAATCCAGAATGAAAGAGATCAATAAGAAGACGTAGGCATAGGAGGGAAAACAATATTTAAATGGATCATTAAGAGACATAGGATGGGGTGGTGTGGACTGGATTCATATGGCTCAGGATATGGACTTGTGACGGGTTTTTGTGAACGTCAATATACTTCCAGGTTCTATACAATGTTGGGAAAATCTTCAGTGGCCAAGCAACTGGTGGCTTCTCAAGGACTCACTCAGCTCCATGGAGTTAGATATAGTACATAAGGGCTCATTACTATGCTCTTACATGGTCATAATGGCTCTGCATCCTGAGGCAAACAGACCCAGTACAAACCCTTCCAATCTATTCCTTTAAAATTTATCTTAAGAAACTGAACTTTTTATGCCAAGCTTGTGTTAGTTTCCATAATCCATCTGGGGAGTATACATTGTTCTTTATTTTGTAACACTTTGCATTTTTATGTGGGAAAGGGATCAATTCAAGGAGAGTGATATGGGTATGTATGTATGTAAGTAAGGAAGTAAGGGATGGGCCATAAATCCGGCCACCCACTGTGACATTCAATGATCTATTGTGCTTCACTTTGGATTAGCCTGTGGGATCTGCCCACATTCAAGCAAGTATGACAACGCAAGCTTCATTGCTTAGCAACGATATGTAAACAGCGGTTGCAGGCAAAGCCCACAACAATACGGAGAGTGACTGGTTTTCTATATGCCCAACCCTAGGTTACATAGGAAGATACAGTTACAGTCACAGTTCTAGATTCTACAGTTCAACAATTCTGGTTAAGTGTGTTCATTATTGTTCTTATTATTCTTCAATTCTTTAAACGCAAGTTCGTCCGTGTATACTCTGCAACTGTAATAAATACTATAGGACAGTTCAACTAGTGGTTGTCTCTTCATATGACATCCCACATTGGTGACCCCGACTGAACATGGAAACCGCATACAGTTCATCAGCAGAAGTGCCCAGAATGGTCATGCAGCTCCCGCCGTTCTGGCCCGAGAGACCAGCCGTCTGGATTGCCCAGGCCGAGGTGCAATTCACCTTAGCCGTCATAAAAAGCCAGAAGATCAAGTTCTGTCACGTCATCTCACAGCTGGACAACCGATACGCCACAGAGGTTGAGGACATCATCACCTCTCCACCTGTATGAGGCCCCTATACCCTACTCAGTACCGAGATTGTGAGGCGGCTATCCTCTTGGAGGCTGCAGCACTCTGTGCGGACCGCATCTCCGAGGTCGAAGTCCAGCCAGCGCTCGCTAACGTTGATGAACCCACGGTCATCGGCGCACTTCGACAGGAGATCGACGAACTCTCCCGCCAAGTGGCTGCACTCAGCACCGAACAGAAACGCCTCCACCCCATCTTCAGGGAATTTGACAACAAACCGAGAGACCAAGGCTCCAGTCCCAACGGTTCCCACCCCGCCTTCAACAATCGCCAGCCCGGCAGCAGATGCCCCTCCAGGGACGACACTACATCCAGTATCTGCTGGTACCACCGCCGCTTCGGCGCTTGGGCACAAAACTCTACTCCGCCCTGCTCCTACCGCAAGCAGGGAAACTGACGCAGCGGGAAATGATCGGCGGCACATGTTTGCGCTACAACAACAGGCCGCCTCTTCATAACGGACAGAGTCAGCAAACGGCAGTTCCTTGTCGACACGGGTTCGGACCTCCGTGTATACCCCCGCAGGCTCGTCCATCGACGCATGGAACGTACCAACTATGACCTGTGTGGGGCTAATGGCACTACCATCCACACATACGGATGGCTGCCTCTCAGCCTCAACTTGGGCCTACGCCGAGAGTTCGCGTGGCGCTTCGTGGTGGCCGACGTCCCGCCTCCTATCATCGGCGTCGACTTCCTGTCCCATTTCGTTTCCCTGGTGGACTGTCGAAACAACCCCATCCTGGACGGGGTCACGACGCTGTCAGTCCCGGGCTCAGCGGCCAACGCACTGATCCCCAGTGTGAAGACAATCAGCAGCAACACACCGATCGACAGCCCCCTCACAGATTTCCTTGACCTGACCCGCCCAGCTTTAGTCCAGCGCGTGATACGACACAACACCGTCCAATATATCAGGACTGTACCTGGCCCACCAGTAACCTGCCGACCACGGCGACTGGCACCGGAGCGACTCGCTATCACAAAAGCCGAGTTCGACGCCATGTTGCGGGATGGTACAGCTCGTCGATCAAAGAGTTCATGGGCCTCTGCACTACACATTGTACCAAAGAAGGACAACGGTTGGCTTCCGTGTGGCGACTACAGAGCTTTAAACCCCCGGACAATCCCCGACCGCTACCCCGTCCGGCATATCCACGACTACTCCCACTAGCTTTTCGGTTGTTCCGTCTCCCCCAAAATCGACCTGGTGAGAGCCTACAACCAAATTCCCGTCCATCCCGACGACATACAGAAGACGGCCATCACCACTTCATTCGGCCTATTCGAGTTCCCCTTCGTGTCCTGCAGCCTGCGCAACACCGCACAGACCTTCGAACGCTTCGTGGACGACATTCTGCGGGGACTCGACTTCTGTTTCGCTTACCTGGATGATATCCTGATCTACTCCTGGTCTCTAGAGGAACACGAGTAACACCTATGGGCACTCTTCGACCGACTGCAGAAGTGAGGGATCCTCATCAACCCGGCCAGGTGCGTCTTCCGAGAACCTGAGATCACCTTCCTCGGTTATAAGATGTCCGCCGAAGGCTCCCAACCGCTGGAAGAACGAATAACACCTCCAGGAATGTCAACATCCCAATACCGCCAGTCAGCTCCGCCGTTTCATGGGCATGCGATTTCTGCCCCACGCGGCAGCAAACCAGGCACCACTGCACGACGTCCTTTCCAAACCCAGTGTCAAGAGCTCCCACCCCATCACTTGGACACCGGAACTCCGCAGGGCCTTCGAATAGTGCAAGGCGAGTTTGTCACGCGCCACACTACTGGCTCACCCCGATCCATCCGCGCCACTTGCGCTCGTCACAGATGCTTCCACGTCCGCCATGGGTGCCGTGCTACAGCAACGCGTCAAGAACGCCTGGCAGCCCCTCGCATTCTTCTTAAGGAAACCCAACCCGGCCCAGCAAATATACAGTGCTTATGACCGCGAGCTGCTGGCCAACAATGAGGCCGTAAAGCACTTTCGCCACATGCTAGAAGCGCGCCACTTCAGCATCATCACAGACCACAAACCTATCACCTATGCTTTCCAGCAGAAAAGGGACAAATGCTCACCTAGGCAATTCAACCACCTGGATTTCATAGCACAATTCACGACCTAAATCCAACACATCTCGGGACAGGACAACTTTGTTGCCGATGCGCTCTCCCGCTTCGAGTCCGTCACTGCGCCACCATCCTACGACGCATTGGCCGCATCGCAGGACAACGACGACGAGCTCCAATCGCTTTGGCAGTCAAACACCGCTTTGCGGGTCGAAAAGCTACCAATCTCCGGTACCACGGTGTCCATCTACTGCGATACCTCTGCCGGGAAACCTCGGCCGTACATCCCAGCTCCCATACGGTTCGAAGTGTCCCAGTCCGTCCATGATTTGTCGCACCCAGGGACCAAAGCAATGGCAAAACTGGTCGCACAGCGTTTCGTGTGGCCAGGCGTGCAGGTTTGCCGCACCTGAGCACGTGCTTGTCAATCCTGCCAGCGTTCCAAAGTCTCCCGCCACACAGTGACCCCATTGGGCGACTTTACACCCCCGGCAGCCAAATTTCTTCACGTTCACATAGACCTTGTTGGACCCCTTCCGACATCAGGAGGCTACACATACTGCCTCACTGCAGTCGACCGTTTCACCCGTTGGCCAGAAACCATCCCCATCCCGGACATCACAGCCGACACAGTGGCACGAGCCCTACCGACCGGCTGGATATCCCGCTTCGGTTGCCCACAGACCATGACCACCAACCAGGGACGTCAGTTTGAAACTCAACTCTTCCACTCCCTGGCCAAGCTCTGTGGCATTCAACTCTCGCGGACAACTGCTCACCACCCATCGGCTAACGGACTCATGGAACGTTTTCACTGAACACTAAAGGCAGCCATCATGTGCCACGCAGACCAACACTGGATAGAAGCCCTACCCCTGGTTCTCCTCGGAATCCGCACGGCATTCAAAGAAGACCTGCAGGCATCAGTAACTGAGCTGGTGTACGGCGAGCCACTAAGGATACCAGGAGCGCTGCTAACTACGACTGCCGACCCAGTGGATCCAGAGCACCTCATCACCCAACTTCGCTAAAATATGGCCCGCCTCAGAACAATTCCAGCAATACGCCACGCCTCCCCGTCTATATTCGTGCACAGAGACCTCGAGAAGTGCACGCACTTCATCCTCCGGCAGGACACGACTCGTAGATCGTTAGAGCCCCCTTACAGCGGCCCCTACCTGGTCCTATCGCGGAAGGAGAAGACAATGCAAATCCTCGTGCGCGGCAGGCTCGCCACCGTGTCAACCGATAGGGTCAAACGTGCCTACATGTTAAACGAGACAGGCCATGTGACCACCAACAAGACCTTCAACCCCGCAGCCGACGAAACCCCAACCGCCTTCCCGCATGCCGTACCACCACAGCCTGTACAACGAACTATACGCTCCAGATGTCATGTACATTTTCCTGATCGCTTTAACAGTTGCGCAACGGTCTCCGTGGGGGGCGTGATGTGGGAACTGCTCACATTCAAGTAAGTGTGACAACGCAAGCTTCATTGCTTAGCAACGACGAGTAAACAGCGGTTGCTAGGCAAAGCCCACAACAATACGGGCAGTGACTGGTTTTCTATATGTCCGTCTCTAGGTTAAATAAGAAGATACATTGAGACGAAGGTACAGTTGCAGTTACAGTTCTACCTTCTACAGTTCTACAATTCTGGTTCAGTGTGTTCATTGTTAATATTATTATTCTACAATTCTTCAAAGGCAAGTTCGACTGTGTAAACGGTGCAACTGTAATAAATGCTATAGGACAGTTCAACTAGTGGTTGTCTCTTCGTATGACATCCCACAAGCTCTTTATTGATCCTACGCTTTTAATAAAGTGTAGGACCCTGCTTATGGGGGCGTCATAAAAGTCACTTGGTTCCATAAAAAAGTGACCCAAGTGACGAAATATTAAATAAGCTATAGCCTCACAATCACACAGAATGTGTGCGGCTGATTTGTTGTCTTGTAGGCACCTTTCACAAGTTTGTCTGTCTGTCAGTCCCAACTTGAAAAGGTGTCCTTTCAGGTGGCAGTGTCCGGTAAGTAATCCTACCACCCATTTTAGTTGATCTCTTTTTAATCTCAACAGATCCTTTGTTCTTCTGGCAGAGGGTCTTGCTATAACACCTGTTGCCTCTCAGAGTCCAATTATGGATTCCCATTATTTTTATGGTTTCTATCAGTCCAGTCCATGACCGCTTTTTTTTTGGCAACTCCAATTGAGCTGCTGCAAGCTGGTTCAGGTCATACAAACAGCTGTTCAGATCGTGATACGGGTAGGTCATATAGCATGCATGTGAGAATGAAAAATCACAGAAGACCTGAAAGAATGAGACAACTTGGGAGACAATTGTGAAGATGGATTTTGTTAAAGATACAATTATGGGGGTTTTGGACTGGGTTTGTTTGTGTCAGGATGCAAAGTCATGATGAGCATGTGTGAACACAGTAATGAGTGCTTAGGTTCCATAAAGAGCAGATACGTATTGTCTGTACTTCCACAGGGACCACAGGTTTCTCAGGAAGGTCCCTGCATTATGAACTTAACACTTGCTATGATTATGAAGTCTGTAGAGAACAAATCTGTACAGAGCAACTGTTATGAGAAACAGCTACAGCAAGGAGAGCATATATTGCTTCATGTATGGTGTTGTACAGCCATGACTGATTATTGCATAATTTTATGTATAGTGATGTAAGACTGTTTTTTGATATAAATTTAACACTTTATTTATCTATTTTAATGATTATAAACTGTACATATATATTTATATTTGTATTGTACTATATTAACTATGTGACTGGTTCTATATCCATGTGTATGGATTTATGGAATATACAATAAATGAATAAATGAATGAATGAAAGATGTGATGCCTTTACAGAACTGTACCAATTCAGAGAAAGTTTTAATGGGTCCATATGGTGAGATATATCCAGCAAGTCATGATGCAAACCAGGCCATGTATATAAAAGCTGAGGAGGTCTCAGACTCACAAGAGGAAGCGGATCCTCTGCAAATAACAGTTCAGGAGATAAAGGTTGAACCTGAGGTGAGCTGTATGCTTCTGTATGTCCACTGTTAGGCAGATATCACAGATAAGCAGGAATTCCAGTTGCCTATCTCATCTCCATGTGTCTGGCTGTCTGACTGTGCAAATAGAACAACTGCACTATACTGCTTGCCTTTCAAGGCCTTGTTCTGAAGTGTCTCTAGACACTTATAGTTTGTTGAATGTATGCTGCTTGTGATGTACCACTTCCATTTCATTTTAAGCAGTTCTGATTTAGATGAAATTAAATTTTATGTAAACTGAACTCTATTTGAGAGAAATTCTATAGCAGCAAAAATCCTTAGGGAGTCACAGAACTGTTTGCAGTTTGACATATGTTAGAACCAAGAATTTAAGTTACTAGAACTCTTGTGAGCTAATTCCAATGAATCCCATAAGATATTTTTCATGTGATGAAGGTTACAAAATATTCTGCACTCTCTTGCAACAAGAGTGGCAACAATTGTACTGTATGGAGCTGAAGAAACATTTCTTGCTGTGAGAGAAAGTATTGTGTCTCATGCTTGTGTGCACAGACAAGAGTTTTATTTTCATATATCAATTCTCTTTGTCAAAGAAACTAAATATTTAGTGACCCGTTTCTGTTTGTTTTCATAATCCAAGTGCGGAGTTCCTTACACTTGGGTGATAACGGTTTTCGATATTATGTGGGAGAGCAATGAGTTCAAGGAGAGAGATGTGGCTAAGTCATGTAGTGCACATGCAACAGTGAGAAATGCATGCAAAGAGAAGAAAAACTTGGGAGACCTGAGTGTGAATGGAAAGTTGCTATTAAGATAGATTTTAAAGAAATAATTTGGAAGTGTTGGTACTGAGTCTGGCTTTCTCAACAAATCCTATATGCATTGCTCTTCTCCCCTATGACTGCTATATGAACTTCCCATCTCATCCTCCTTGACTTTAGCTTTTAGGTACAATAAATAACTTCATGGAGCTGAGTGAGTCCTTGAGAAGCCACCAGTTGCTTGGCCACTGAAGATTTTCCCAACATTGTATAGAACCTGGAAGTTTACTGACGTATTTGCAAAAACCTGTCA